TATTTGTTTAATTTTATAGATCTAAATACTTTTTGGTTCAAAAAATATTTAGGGACTTAATCGTTCAAAATATGAATGTTCATTGGGTTTTTTTCGGACTTTTTTCACTATTTTACCATATTAACTAGTTGTACAAGTCATAACAATGTATCCAACAGGTTTTAGAAAAGTCTAAGGAGTTATTTAACATGCTTTGAATTGTCCAAAAACTTATTTGTTTCAAAAAATTGTCCAATGTGTTATTTAACATGTTTTAAATTATCGAATGATTTATTTGTTCAAAAAAATTGTCCAAGAAGTTATTTAACATGTTTTGGAATGTCCAATAACTTATTTGTTCTAAAAAATTGTCCAAGGATTTAATCATTCCAAAACACTAAAGTCTATTGGATTTTTTTAGACTTTTCTCAATATTAAATAATAATTCTTTAAAAAAAATTATCCATTTGGTTGTAATAAATATATTAAATTAATTGTACCGACAATTAACTTATTATTTAATTAATCCCCATTTAAAAATGATAAACCATCATTGATGTTTTAGAGTATAAACGATTAATAAAATTCCCATCAGATATAAAGTCATGGTCGGCATTGCTGTCTTCAACTCCTCCTAACCCTAGTGGCACCATTATTGCCACACCCTCCCACACAATATCCATCTCTTTTTAACGGCTAATTTATTATTATTATTATTATTATATATTTGGTTTAAATTCTGTGACAGGGGTGTTCAAAAACCCGATCAACTCAATCAACCTAATCCAACTCGACACGATAATAAGTGTACACGAATCGGCTCAATCAACCTAATTCAGCTCGACACGAGATAAGCTAACGTGTACGCTTTAAGCAATCTTTATCCTCATAGCATAAGTGCAAGTATTAGCTTAACGAACATAAATATCGATCACTGTATTTTAAGAAAATACTGGATTGAAACTGCATTATATGGTTTCTCTATAGGTAAAGAATAGCACGAAAAAGAAGGGTACGTCATTGGAGATGCGTTGTGAGGGTGGTTCGATTGAAAATTGACAAAGAAGTCCAAGGAATCAAGGATTGAAATAGAAGTAGCAAGCATTAGTTGCTTTGAAATGAAAACTAAGGAGACGTTTACTAAATCCTTACTCGATAGGTGCTTACCGGGCAATTTTTCTCACTGGACGAACATGGTAAGACCCAAGAATCTTACGTGATAAGAGCGATGATAAAGATAGAGAGTCTTATCCGGTAAGTGAAGATGACGACTCTTACCCGGGTAAGCGTTTACCATATATATTGTTGCACACGATACCATTTTAATATACTACAATCTTACCTGAAAAATAAATTATAGTGTTAACTTCTAGCGGTAAACGCTTACCGGGTAAGTATTTAGGTAAACAGTCCCTAACTCAAAAATGTCTCGGTTTATACGTAGTGGACTACAATATATGTTGATAGACCCCCTCCTAAACGTAAACATGGGAATTTGAACTTTTCAAATACAGAAAAATTTGGCTTTTAAAAAAACTGTTCATCCATACTTCATTTTATCTGATTTTTTGTAGATTGAAACTGCAATACTTTCATGAAGGTGCTTAGGGGTTTTTGTTGGAAATAATATCCAATGTCACAAATGAATTTAGTAAATAAATTTCATAAGCCTATCGAGGCTACACACTTAGCCTAAATTAGAAAGTAAGAAACTTTGGGGACTGATTTTGTTAATTATTAATAGTTAACAATTAATTAGTAAATAATAATTTGATAATTTATTTTGGTAAGTTATTAATTATTAATGGGTTTTAAATATGTTTAAAGAGGCTTTAGAAGTCCGTTAGGTTTTTAGAAGCCTGTTAGGGTTTAAGTCCAAATCACGGGTATTTAAACCTAACTAACCTAGAGATAAACATAATAATTAAAACCCTAAGCAAAATCGTCTCTCTCTCTCTCTCTCTCTCTCTCTCTACGGTCGAACTCAACCCCAAGGGGTTCTTGAGATCAATTTTGGTGCTCCAACCGAGAAGGTTTTCTTGTTCAGGTTTACGGTTTCGTGTGCAGACTGGTAGAGGGATTCAATGTTGGATCCTTAATCGTCTTGATCTACAATCGAGGTACATTTGTAGATTTTATTTGATGCTTTGCTTACATAAACGTGTTCCTCGGTTTCGTTATTACATTTCTTGCTTCTGTGTTTTTCGTATAAAAATTCGATTTTTATCATACGTAA